AGGGTGCGTCTATAAACATGGACAGCATTACCGGCAATGGCTCTGGGAGACGTGCAAACCACAGCTCCTTTATCCCTTCTTCGCTCAAGAATAAGGGACCAGCGATGCGCTGAAGTTCGCGGAGCAATGCCGACGGCTTGCGATCTCCAAGCTTGAGACCATTGAGCTGCTCAAATCGTGCTCGTGCGCTGGGTCGTAACTCTTTCAATATCGCTTGCTTCATCGTTTCATACTTTGCCTCATTCGATGGGCAGAGTAGAATGTCCTCAATCAGCGTCACTACCGACGGAGGAAGGCGTGGGACGAGCTGATTGTACCTTGGACGGTCCGCCGCTATGCCCTTATTTTCTAGCTCGATCTCGAATATCTTAAACCAAACTTCTGGACTGTGTTCCATGAAACTTGGAACAGCCAAAGTAAGCATGGTTACGCTGTGAAACGACTCAGATGCCGCTCTCGAAATGTGAGTCGAAAGATAAAGAACGAACAAAATACGATAAAGTACTAAAATTACGCAAGAAACAAATGAATATAGGTATATAATCGAGAAAAAGGAACGAACTCACAAAAAATACAAACGAGAAAAAAAATTGAATTCGCGCGTGCGAATCGGGGTCACCAATTTGTAGGACTAGTTAATACTAGTCCGAGACGATGCGCGGAATTAGGCGCGGATATCAGAAGGCAATTGGAGTCGGACACAGCGGACTGTATTCGATGGGCTACAACAAGAAACGGACGGATGAAGCGAGGCAAGAGCGTACACGTGAGCGCGGGAACTTACAAGGCAGTTGTGTGTCGAGCCGGTTGTAAGATTAAAACAAGAAGGAGTAATGTACAATCGGTCAACAAGTAAATTGTACACGAAAGATAAGAGTTATCTTTTTGGGCGCTACAGCCCCATTATTGACCAGTACCGCTGTGGAAAGACGTCTTATGCGCTGCGGAACGTTAATGTTTACGATGATTTAAAATGTTGGCTTCTATGATCGACTGATTTTGTGCATATACTCACCACATTTGCTTGAAACCCCGTATTCGTTGCCGAACCTGCTACCATTACAACCCAGGGATGTCACCGGTTGGCGACAAACCGCCTTTAACCGAATTGTTCAACTCGGCGACCAAACCTACATCCAAAGATGGACGCTCTCAGGTAAGTTCGGTTAATGATCCAACTCATTGCTACTGAGCTCCATGATACTCATCTATATTCGGACTAATTGCTGAGCTAGGCGGTGGATTCATTCTCGGGCTGGTCAACCTGAATTTTATGAAGCCCAACCGACCCACTGCGCCACCGCTAGTTGACCCACGTGAATTCACCTGCGTCATTGATGTCACAACCCATCGACGACGTACGAAGTGCACTGAAGTATGTCTACGCAAAACCACGTGCATGGTCATGTGTTCCTTCAGCCGTCGTTATTCAACCCACTTGTAGCTAGTTTGACGTCTGGCTAAAAAACGGGCACATTAGAAATTTTAGAGCCCATGCACGCAGGAACTGAGGCTCCATTTTGATCTACCTACGCGCTCGCTTTCCTTCGGTGCGCCAGTGTGCAAAGACCGCGCATCGTGGATTGCACGGACTGTGCCGCTCATTGAATCACCACACTTGTCGGTGCTGCTGACGGGAGTTAGGTGGATCTAGTCCAACCGATGAAATTGTTCGGTGTCGGGGACGTAGGGTTTCCAGTTACCTACTCAATTGTTTAAATCCACTTCTGCTCTTTGTTGGGGCGCGTTAAAGACGGGCGTGACAGTTTGGTAGAGGGATTGAGAATGACTTACTGGTTAAGCTCATTTTCGGTCCGAATAATGATCAATCCATGCTTTCAAGCTTGGCACACCAACTTCCTTTAGAATAGACGAACACAAAGAGCTGGCCGGATGTATCTTCGCAAAACTCTAGAACTGAACCAAGGTAAGCGTCTGTAATCAAAAATACCACGATCACGTTCTTGTGACATCAGTAGTTTTCCACAATCTGTTGATAATATTTCGTGTTATCAACGAAGAATGTCCACCAGGGATCAAAGTAGCGGACCGGTGGAGACATCGGAAACCCTCATCGCCCATACCGTCGTTGAACGGATTCCGTGATAGAGCATACCTTTATATATTTAATTGTTATTCCACTCATTCTGCAGTGCGAAACAGGACCAATCAGTTACAACTATCAAAATTGCCGTTTTGCGACGCGGATTGACTGGTGAATTTTGCATTTCGTACTTGCAGTGAGGTGACTCACGATGCGCCATGTGTATCTGACCAGAAAATCTTGATTACAACGTAGCCTGAGTGCTATTGCTTTAAGTTGAGCTCAGGGAACTTCTGTTCTGCTTGGAAAGTTCTGATGTTGTTTGATCCCAAACCTCACTCCACGATTAATTTATCCATTGTTCGGAATCTTCAGCTAGAGATAAACGGAGCTTGGAATGTAACCCTAGACGCAGTTGTTGACGCATTGACCACTAGGCTGTTAAGCTCTGTGATCAACAACCCAAGGTGTTCTTTGTTTTTTTTTCACTAGCCTGGTCGCATATGCAAGCCTGTCTACGAGTTGACAAAGTCGGTGGTTTGGCTTTAGGTCGTATTGTTGCGTTCGCAAAAAGTGGTGTGATAATGACTAGAATGTCATTTTGAGGTACTCGTTTTTAAGTGGTTTGCGATGTGCGATTCACATTCAAGTGAACCCTGGTCTACGCGATCGCTGGGACCACCGTAGCCGAGGCATATGAAAACTTTGTTTCGCACCCGAAAACACTGCACACCACGGCGCGTTTCGACCTCATCTTGTTTCACCGGAAAGAGATAGCAAGTGGTGAGTTCACCAGATAGTTTGTAATGCACTCTCATTCTCTAAACAATTTACGGGAACAGCTTCCTTTGCTCGGGAACAAGTACTGCACTTCAATGTGACCAATGTTTATGTGCGGACGGGAGACTAGGCCACTGCGAACTAAAAAATTGTAAGGCTACATGTTTTGATGCACCGGTGTATGTGCATGATATTCTGTATCTTGTTGGCAGCAAGCAAACTTTTCTTTGGTACATCGGTTGGGTTTGATAACAGAGCTACTGGCGTCGTACCAGATCCCTTATGAAAGAATCACCTACGTTGAATGGGTTGCTATCCTCGCAAGTTGACTGATCGCCCACTTTGTGCGCCCTTCTGAATGAAGAAGCCTCAGCTTGGCTAGCAAGTGGTGAAGAAGGAGTTTAACTGGTTTCGGTGGACATTCGCCATAATTGCATTGTCGGATAATCACTGCACTTCCAAAAAGATATTATAGAGCCATTACACCTTTTCAGGCCTCCTCAACGGTTTACATCCCATCTACCCAATGCGGAACTAGGCCCCTGGACTATACCTTTTCTAAGCCATTTGAACCCATAGCGCTTCTGAATTCCTCGTTGAAGAAATCATATTCCTTTATAGATCTTTTAGGTTGCATCCAACGGGAGCAAGTACTCTTGCAAAATGTGTACTGTTCGTTGAGTAACCGATCACAAATCAGCTGATGGATGCGATTGACTGATTTGAGTTTGATCACTCAATGGACCGTAGCATTTAGGGGTGTTCGTGTCCACTGGCTTCAACCTGAAAGTGTTAAGGACCATCTTGAGGGATCTATGGAGGTACCTGGTTTACTTAAGGGAGAATTAGAAAGCGCTATGGATCCAAATGGCTGAGAAAAGGTGTAGAACCGGAATCCTTTCTCTAGAAATTAGTGATTTCTCAAGCTAGCCTATTATGCAGTCGAACAATGCCGCCTCAGCAAGGAGTTTCGTGTCGCTCGTGTCAACTCATGTCCCCTGCAAGTTAGCAACGCACATGGAAGTGGAGAATGTCACGCGCAACATCACAGCTAATAAGGACGACTGTCATTAATCCTCCTTGCCTCAGTGATCTGAGCATGGATTCGAAAGGGAAGGATCGCGGATTCCAAACCCTCATCGAGTAGCTGAAACGATCACTGCTGATGACTTCCGAAAGGATGACAAAGTCATCTAGTACTTCCACAGATATACAATGGCTGTCTAGTCGAATGCAGATGTGTTGAAACCCCTTTGAAATTAATCGGTGATGTAACAGAGGCGCACCAATTAGCTGGCTAAAGAATTAAGTTGGGTTTATTTGCTCGATTCCCCGGCTAGGAACATCGGTATTAAACCTAAGTGACAACATGCGTGTGGATATTAGTGGCTCGGTTGTGTTCACTCTCTCACATCTACCTAAATCTTAATGCATCCCACTATTTCATATACTCCCTCTGAGCCCTTTTTGTTTAGCGTGGACGTGCTTTCCCCGCTTTTGATGCCGTTCGTCTTAACGAGTTGAATCAGGGTAACCGAATCTATGACGCTTCGATGTTCAGGCCAGTTGTTTAACTGAAATTAAGTGGCGCGACTCGTATCTCCATCACTGAATTCGCATATCATAATGGCTGAATCAGTTGATGCTGTTATTCTCTCCGACAATTGCAGTTAGTGTTCTCTTTTTAAGCTTCGTGTATTCTTGTAAGAAGGCGTCTCTTACGCACGGGCGCCCTGTTTAGTAAGACGGTTCGTACAGTTTGATAATGCCCCAGATTCGAATACAACTGCTCATCGGTCGGCGAACTCCCTACTGCTTTGCATCACCCCTGCTTTGTGGAATCCATCAAGCCATCTAGCAAATTTTATCGTCATGGCTTTTATCATCCTCCACCGAATGTACACCGCTCCAATCTCCCCTATCAGTTTCTACACAGCCGCAAAGGTTAATAACTTCCCTCTATGCAACATCGGTGTTATCTTGACCATCCTATCCCAACTTGCTAATGTTTATGCTTCCATCATTGTTTCTAAATCCGTTCACCATGTCTCTAATTCTGTGTATGTTCACAGCCGATCTAAAACGTCTGCGTATCTCAGGCAAATATAAATTTTGCCCATCCTACTGGCGTTTACGAGCCTCCACTACACATTTCCCCCATCACTCTTCACTTCAGCGCCTATGTGACCGGTACTGATTGCCTGGCCGGCGGAACAACTGCGCTGTCGGTATGTGTTCGTAACTACTGGCTAGAAGTCTGTCAACACAATACCCAGCAATCTGAGAACCAATGTGGCCACTGGCGCGGATTAGGTCAGGCGTTAGCGGCGGCTAGCACCCGACCGGCCAGAGTGCTTGGTTTGTATCAGCGAAATATGGTCGCAGCGCTGGCGAAAGGAACGCTGGAGCCAGGAGCGGATGCTGATTTGACAATAATTTGCCCGAACTCGTTACGTCATACCACCAAACCCACAGTAAAAATTTTGTCCACGTGGATCGCTGGCAAACCCGTATTCACTGACCCCGCAGCCAATTTGTCAGTCACTGCATTTTCGTGATCATCTTTTCAGATCTTTCCTTTATCTTGATTTTCGAAAACTCCCCAGCGATTTGTGTGCCTCAGATTTTCTTGGTCGGTGATACTAGATTCCTGCATCAGGCCAATGTGCAGAACACAACTAACGCCCCTACATAAACAGAATTGGTACCCTTTGCTTGTGTCGATGCTTCCTATATCGTTATTTCCCATGCCACTCAGTATCACCGAAATACCAACATTAATAGTCTTGTCAAGTTGACGTCGACGTGGATTATTATTAGGTAACTTTCAGACCAATTACCATCTTGATTGGTGCGACGCGATTTCGCCCTGAATTTCTCATCGACCCCGGGAACGCTTTGAAAAACAACCACCTGGCGGGGCGGATTTGAGAGTTCGTGTCGATTTGTTGAAAGAATTATGTGTCGTTTGTCACTGTGATGTGCTTGGCCGTGATGTAATCATTTTCACACGTGAGCTGAAGGTGAGAAAAACTAACTATTGTGTCGCAATACAAAAGCGGGATGTACGAACACTCAAGACACAAAACATCATAAAATACAAAAACAACTGGTACTATGCTGCTTATTAACAGCGTGCTTCAAGATTGAGAGCGTGGTTGGAGGGGGAAGATAAGCGGGATGTGGAGGGATAGGGAAATCACAACATAAATGCCATCAGGGCCACTTTTCGCCATGTCAACCAGTATATCTAACCAAACGTGTTCATTATCCTTCAGACCCCAGCCCGGCAGTCGGGAGACACCAACCGACGCCAAATTCGAAGTGAGGGACCTCATTCCATATGTACAGGTCATTGGTTGGCATCCTCTTCTCTTCCATCCAAGTTTAGCTGTGATATTATTCACCAAAATCAGAGCCTCCGTTCTTTCCTGTCGTATCTGATGTGGAACGGGTTTCATCACTAGCGCAAACTGTGGATAATCGTCGAAATGGGTTGCTAACTGCTCACGAGCACACGTTAACTGCAGTAAAGATTCGATTTTCACAGTGCCTTCTTTCGTCAGTTTCATTGGAAGTTACCTCTACGAACCGAATGATGCTTTTCAAGGTCTGTTAAGCAGCTCATTTCACTCCAGTTGATTTAACTACATAAGTGTGGAAGATTCCCAGATGTCTTATCCTCCGCTGCCTTTCTACTGCTCTCTGCCTCTAGGTTGTGATTCCTTTTACCATTCCCCAACCCCTTTCCCTGTACCAACCGATCTTTATTATACGACTCAACGGAGATTGTGTTCCGTGCCAAGTTAATTAAGTTTATTTGCACTTTAAGTATGTCAACAATCATCAATCAACAACAGCAGTACATCAGCCATTTGGACTGATGCTTCGCTGCCATACAACCATGATGACCTATGTAATAAAGAATAAGAAGAGGGAGAGAAGGGGGACTTACCGGAAAACCTTAATGCACCAAGCAAACATTCAGGGTCAAGGCGCCTACACCTTGTGTAGACAACATACTGTCACAATCAGCTGGCTATCGTGCAAAGACAAGGCGGCATCGGCGAGATAGCTTCCTTGCGGCTTTCACTGCCACGCGTCATAATCAGCCATTACCCCGCTGACAACTCAGCACCAAACACACTTTAAACAGGCAATCCGATTAGGAGACGGCAGCAGACGCGCCACTCGTGTCGGTTGCGAGCCATGTCCTGCAAAGTCTCGAGCCAAGCACAAGGCGAGTCACGTTGACTCCAGCCCGGAAAATGAGACGGACCAACGGCACTCAGTTTGGTTATCAATAACTTCATTTCACACTGCAAGTCAACTTTTGTCCACTTCGAGCCTTGTCCCACCATACGCCAGGCAGACTAAACAAGACCACCCCCCCCCCTAGATAAGCGGTGCCCAAGCATACATAGCACGTGCCCGAGCCAACGCAACTTATTCAGTGCTATCTGTTGTTCTAGGGAGTTAGCATGATTATCACCATCTAGTACTCGCCTACGCACATCATCGTTGCGGACACACTGGTGCCATCCGACACCAGCAATGCTCCGCAGACAACGATGATCAAAGACTTGAAGGCGCCTCAGATTTTTAGACCAAAGGGGCCAAGTCTCACTACCATAGAGCAGAACGGCCCTCACTGTGGCCTCGTATACACAGCCTTTCAGACGGAGGGAAACTCCCTTCTGTCGCCAAAGATGCCGCAGGTTCAAGAAGGCAGCTCTGGCCTTTGCAATGCGTGAGGTGACGTCAGTTTCTATGCGCCCATCGTTGCTGATGCAGCTACCTAGATAAGTGAATTGATCATCCACCTCGAGCTCCTCGTTAGCAAGTGTCCAGTGGTCATAAAGTGGCTGGTGGTCCTGCAGCCACACTTGGCACTATGAAAGTGCGAAGTGCATACCAAATAATGGGACTACTCTAGACAGGCTATTCACAGTTGATTGTGCTGCCGCAACATCGTCGAAAAGCAAGACGATATCGTCCTCATAATCAAGATCAACTAATCTTTCACCAGGCAGCACTTCAACGCCCACGTTGTTGGATTCCGCAAGGGAACACTCCATGATAGAATCCACGACGAAATTGAACAAAAACGGGGAGATCGGACAACCCTGACGAACGCCACTTGTAGTCGAAAAGCTATCCGATAGGGCACCATAGACCCTGACGCGGCCTGTAGTGTTCGAGTATAGAGCACGAAGAATGTTCACATATTTCGTGGGGACACCTTTTCGCGCAAGTAATTCGAACAGAATCAATCGATCGACTGAATCGAACGCACTCTTGAAATCGAGGAACACAGCTATTGTCGGTCTGCGGTATGCGTGGCGCTGCTCTAGCACCTGCCGCAAAGTAAATATATGGTCTATACAGCCACGTCCTGGGCGAAAATCGGCCTGCTCTTCCCTAATGCGAGATTCCCGTTCCGCAGTGAGGCGACGAACGAGAATCGAGGTCAGTAATTTTGTCACAACTGGCGTTAGGCTAAAACCCCTGTGGTTCGCACAGTCTGTGCGACTGCCCTTCTTGTTTATTGCCACCATGATCGATTCGTTCCAATTAGCCGGCACACTCTTCGTTCCAGATACGTTAGAATAGGGAGGTCAGTGCCTTGCAGAGGACCTCACCTCCATCCTTAAATAGTGCAGGTGGGAGGGAATCCGGGCCAGCGGCACGAAAACGATTGAGGGCTGTGATCGCGTTTCGGACCTTGGCCTCCGACGGAGGCCCTAAAGTAACCGTCCATGGCACGTCCTGCATCACCTGAGTAGGAAGAGGTCCGGGAGCAGGGGGCCAGCTGAACTGATCTTGAAAGTGTTCCGCCCAACGAGCCATACGGCGCTCCCGCGGTGCAACCGCGCTGTCTCTGATTGTCTCACTGACGCCTGGTTTCCTGGGAACAGTGGTGCGGATAAGCTGGGAGAGCTTGCGGTAATTGCCCACCGCTCCTGCCTCCTCCATTTCTACAGCCCTACTGGTCCACCAGGCTTCCTTATCAGCCCATAAACTTCGCTTTAGTTCGCGTCTAATAGCCCGTCTGATCACATTGTGCTCAGAGCCAGCCGGGAGGATTCTTCTGGATTCCAACAGGCTCACCGACCTCTCGGATATAAAGTGACTGGTGCGGTGAAAATTGATAGTGCTACAAGCAAATGCTTCTGCGTCGTGCATGGCGGCCGCGATCCTATTCCACTGAAACACCGTGTCACTAGGACAAGACAGCGAAAGTTCGGCATGCAGTGCATCTTGATAGGCTTGCCTGACCGAGGGCTGCGACAATTTCTCAGTTGCCAATCGTAGGGGAAAACTTGTGCGCCTCCCGGTAAAGTTCATGGAGAAACGACAGCGCACCAAAGCATGATCAGAGTCGGCGCAGGTATTCCAATACGAACGGCAATCCAGAATGGAACCACGCCACCTGTAAGTTATGAATATGTGGTTAGTTTGGGTCCATTGCTGACCAGCTACAGAACGCCAAGTGGCACGTCGGCGCCCACTGTGTCTAAAGGTGGTGCTACTAAGAAACAACTGGTGCTCCGCACACAGTTGTAACAGACGATCGCCGTTGTCAATCCCTACGGATTTAGGCCCATAATTACCACCCAGCTGAACTTCTGAAGAGATCAGACGGCATACTTGTGCGTTCATATCCCCTGCAAATACTAGAATATCTGAACCAGTAGCACTGCGTAATAGTGCGTTCAATTCCTGGTAGAATGTGTCCTTGACAGCATTAGAACTGCAGTCGGTGGGAGCATAAGCGGAAATCACAAACCAATAGCGTTTTGTACTACTTCGTGAATTAACCTTAGCTGATGTCGTCAAACGGGCTGCACATAAACGGCTGTTCACCCGAATCCAATCAACCAACGATGGCTCAGTCTTGAAGCTTAGGATGATGCCTACAAAAGCTGACACGTGAGTGCTGCATCGGCGTCTCCGGATGCGTGCAAAAAATAACGAGAGGATGAGCCGGGTGCAGTTAATTGAATAACCCCATTAGGGTCATAGATCCTAGTTTCGGAGACAAAACACACATCAATACTCAGTGTTTCCAACGTGCGTGCGAGTGCAGCCTGTTGACCTGTTTGTTTTAGTGTGCGAACGTTGAACGTCGCCATGGAAACGGGACAGTGTGACCTTATAAGGGACTATTGCTGGTAGGCGTCCGGTGCGTGTCGCGGGGTGACTGCAGATGGTTCTACTCCAGTGGCACTTCTGTTGCTGTCAATTAAGCTGGGAATTATAGAAGGAAGGCTAGTAATGGGGGTCGGGATGGGAGTAAGAGAAAAAGGTGGAAAAGAAAGAAGGGAGGCGCCAGCAGTAGCATGTTTTCGCTTATCCGCCCTGCTGTATGCAGTAGATAAAGCGACCCTTGATAATCTGCGCGACGGCCGATGCAGGATAAAGTTTATGTTTGAAGAAAATGTCATGGTTGTATATGGGTTGAGATCCTGCCAAGGCGTCCAGACCTAGACAGGAGGACGAATAGTCCTCATCCAAAGCCTTCGGCTCAAAAGCCTGTCCACAAGGCAGCGGGGAGGTGGCAATGATTTAGTTTTACAGAAATGGACGCCATCCCATTTCAGACCCCCAACCTGGAGGACCAGGAGACTGAGTTTGTCTGACCTCTCACTATTGACCAAACTGGTGTGAGTATCTCTCAAGGTGCCCGGAGGCAGCACCCAGTATAGCTCAATGGGTCAAGGAGGTAAGCAAACCGTCGCACCACGTTTAGGTCCAGTTTAGTTGCGACGGTAGATGACCTGCATTCAACCGTACATGCATTGACCTACATTTCCAAGTCCTGAACAGACCTAATTGTCGCTTCATGTAGCTTCGCCTCATGTTATCAGTTTGTGAAGTTCCGTTTTAACTCCCTCGCCGTGGCATTCGGATACTGGCGAGCAAGACATTCCCCACGTCGCATGTGACCTGACGAGGTTGCGAGATCATGTGAGTACAGTTCTCATACATGATACCACCTCGTCTATGGGGACAATTGTAAATCCTTGCTTAATGTGCAGTTGAAACATTTGCAATACCATCACGGTATGTGTGTAAGGCACTGGCAGAACCCCCACGTTCTACGGCAACCTCCCTTTCCGATTTGTCATGTGTAAGACTGTTATGGTCGCAGTACATGGAGATGAGCTTATTCTACGTGGACTTAAAGCTCAGTTTGTCAGCTATCTTGGATTGTTGTCGTTGTTTATTACGCCTGTGCCGGAAGCGCAGATTGTCGAAATGGTGTCAAATATATTGTAAGAAGAAACGCAAGCGTTACGCTTAAACCGAACAATTTTTCGATTTATTCATCATCAAGCTTGGTACAGAAATATACTTTGAGAAGAGGACTTCATTCGGGACCAGAGAGTAACTATTGATTGAAATAAAAAAAAATTAAATGATTAACGTAACGTGTCATGTGGTCAAGTGACTGAAGGCATGTGACACCACTGAGTGAGGTCCGATCCATCTTTATCACTGGCTGGCCAGGGTAGTTGTAATACTTGGACATGCTGCTTCTGAATGCATAGATTTGGTTTTGTCAGCCTGATGCGTACTGCTTCAGCGTTAGCAAGTAGGCTAGCCCCTGACCGATGGTGTAGTTGCAATGGCACTCGAAAGAGGATTTCAAATGACTTGCGCTTATCACTCAGATGACTGG